GTCCTGACAGTCCTGGCAATAGAAGAATTTATTTTATTAATATTGATAGATGGATGAATGATCCCAGAAGCCTAACTTCTTCAGCAGCCCCAGAAACAAATTGGCACTACTATCCTGATTTTATTTCTACTGGGATCCCTAAGCCCCTTTCTCTGAGGATTCTGACTGATGTCTTTCCTTTGGGGAGCAAATTCCAGCTCACTCGGGCTTTTCCAGAGATAAAGGGAAAAGAGCCCATATGTTGTTTAGCTGTAAGTGTAGGATTTAACAGGACAGACATCTTTCCAATAGCTTTGAGTCACTGGGTTTGATGGCCATTGTAAATTTCAGAATGCACAAACTTAAATGGGTAAGGAAATGTTTTCATAGAAGTTTACATTTCCATATTGATTTTATTCTTCACTAGTTTCATATTTCACACACTATTTAGAAAGACCATTTTTTCCAATGGCACCAGTTTGCTCTTATAATTATAAAAACAGTGACTCTACATGTACCTACCATAAACAATGTGATGCTTTGGAACCCAAAGTCCAATATAGCACAAATAAAGAGTTTTATTCCTTATTTGCAGATAGAGTGCAGCCAGAGCTTCGCCATCTCTTAGATAGGGGGTGAAAAGTTGGCAGGCACATCAAGCGTTTTTCTATTTATTGTTTTATGACAAACCATGGCACTGAAAATGGTTTTTGAAAACCACTGTTTATTTTCACCAACAAACATGGGATCATGTGACAATGATACACCCAGTGTGATCATCACACCAGGGTAATAGTCAAACACTGAGCACTTCCAAAGTCCATTCAGTTATCAAACTGCCTTCATGAAACAGAGCACCTAGTTCTGGCATATGCATGGTTTTCAGAGTGCAGAAAGACCTCTTAAATAAGGGGCCTTGGCTGGAGCAAGCCACTGAAAGGGAAATAGGTTGTGGGGAGAATCAGTTCCATCCTATTGAGGATGGTTAAAAGGTCTATTGCTCCTAAAATTTCTTGTCCGGCAATCCATAGCTAACAATTCCATATCCCATCTTTTCCCGGCCCTAAGCCTAAAATTCCCAAGCATATTCTTATTTAGGCAAAACAATGAAAAGTAGGGCATCCTATACCAAGGACATGATGTTAAAGTTGGTAGAAGGGGAGCAGGGGAATGCAATTTATCCATTTTGAAAGGTGCAAGTGGCCCTAGGGAATAAGATCCAGGAGAAGGAAGTTTAGATGGGGAGGGGAAGGAATCCTGGTCTGCCTGGAGGCAAACGCTGAGCAGGCAGCAGGCATTCTACAATAGGCAATGGTGAAATTGAGGAGAATGATACATTTAAAGAATGGCCTCTTCAATCAAGTCATTTCCTTTTCCAAAGGTTCTGGGTAACTGGCAACCCACTATTCTGAGTAGCCTCCCCCAGCCTTGGCCTAACCAACACTAATGACATCAGTCTCAAGCAGGGTGTATAAGAAACGCAAATTGCTCTGCTGCACAGCCATAGCCACTTTTGTATACCTCCCACTCTCTCAAGAGTCCACATTTCTGCAAAACTTTTCCTATCAATGCAAATCTTAACTTTCATGAGTCCTGGCCAAGAGATAACATAACACCCCTGAGAAAGATGCTATCAAATGAATAACATAATCATGTAGATAAAGAACAAATCTCTAGTCTCATTGGAAATCACATTTTGTTTTTTTTTTCCTTTCCCATATTCCTCTCTGAACTGTTTCCTTCCACTAGTGTTTAATTTGATTTTGCAAGATAAGGAGAAGAGAGGGTGCCAAACAATTGTAGTTTAGTTTTGTGTCATCAGTGAACGGATTATTTTAATTTGGCCCAGTCTCTCTTTTTCCAGATCCTGCCTGAATCCAGATCATCAATAATGTGCAGTTTGGTAAGCAAATATTGGGCTAGTTAGAGGCCCTCTGTTGAAAGTCCAGAATTTCAAAGGGCATAGGCAACCATGTTTAATTCAATTAAGCAAATATAGTCTGAGTAACTATTAGGGGCAAGACATAGTCCTAGTTATTGGAAGAAAATGACAAATGCTTGGCCTCTGAACTTGAAAAGCCCATAACCAAGCATTTTGCAGCCCTTTCCTTTAAATAACTTAATACCTGTTTATTCCATAAAGAACCTCCTTATTTTTTAACTCAAAGATTTAGAGCCAAGGAGTCAACTGGAGTGAGGTATCTTGAGTGTGTCCTCCAGTGACACAGATAAGAGCACGTTGGACACCAGTAGTGTAATTTTAAGTTCTTGACCACCGAGGCTTTTTTTTTTTTTTTTTCAGTCTTTTGCCTGACTTTCTGGTACTACTAAGTTGACAGGATTTCTAATAAGGATTGTAGGTACGAATTGGAGGATGAAAAGAAGGTGAGAAAGCAGTTGATGAAAACTAACCATGGCTGGTGGCTCACACCTGTAATACCAGCTCTTTGGGAGACTGAGGTGGGAGGACTGCTTGAGCCCAGAGTTTAAGGCCAGCCTGGCCAATATAACAAGACACTCCCGCCTGGGCAACACAGCAAGACCCCACCTAAAAAAAAAAAAAAAAAAACTAACCAAAACTGTAGATAGTTTGCTTTAGGGCTCTTTCCTTTTCAGCAATCCTTTAATTTTTTTCTTCCTGGATATGAATAGTTTATTTTCTGTAGTCCAATCAGCTACGCAGAGGTCTTCATTTGTTTTTGATTTGCTATGGCCAATTTTCTCATTGAACGAATGAGCTTTATGATCACCAGTGTTGTGCAGTCCTGCGCATGTAAAAGCCAGCAGTCCTAGTCAAGGACTTTTGTAATTTGAAAAGAACCAAAACAGCACAAATTTTTTCCAATTGTGAATATATTGGGACAGCAGATGAGGTGAAGAATTCCTACTGTTCTAAAAACTGAGAGAAAACAATCACAGAAAGTTTTCTCAGAGCGAAGCTTTCTCAGTGTGTTATGTCTCCCTGGCTCACTGACAGCAAGTGGGAAAGACTAGCTTCCTAAAGTACTGCGCTGAGGGGCTAGCGTGCTACGAATCTTCTGAACTAGAGGCCAGAAAACCTGCATTATAGTCCCAGGTCTTCTACACACTTGCTGTGGGGTCTTAGGGCAAAATGTTTAACCTCTCTGGACTTTATTTTCCTCATCTCTAAAATAAAGAGGATAATAATAGCAGTAGTCAGGTGGCAATGTGACTCGAACCTAATAAATGTGCAAGGTTTTTTTTATACTGTAAAGAATTGAATCCAGGTATATTATTGTTGAGGTATCAGAGACCTATTTGCAAATCGGAAAACTCTTTGTCCTTATCAGTGTATGGCTCTATGCCGCAAGTTTCCTTTTTCTATTAACTGATTCTCTTACTAAATGGTTTAGCTAAACAGAAGGACTACCATCTTGAGATGGTCATCAAAATACATGAAAAGTTAATGAGATTTTCCCTACAATATATCTGAATAGGGGAAAAGTTACACATATCTATCAAATAATTGCATAGCTCTCTGGGAGGTGTTCATGTGAAAATAAATGAGTGCATACAAGGGCTTTCCATGGTTGGGCCAGTGTCTTCTGAGTGTGTTCTGCAGTTCTTACAGCCCTAGGAGCATTGTGCAGACATCAGAATCAAAGCCAAACCCTGTCGTTAAAAACTGAGCTACAAAGCCGGGCGTGGTGGCTGCGCCTGTAATTCCAGCACTTTGGGAGACTGAGGCGGGCAGATCATGAGGTCAGGAGATCAAGACCATCCTGGCCAACACAATGAAACCCCATCTTTACTAAAACTACAAAAAAATTAGCTGGGCATGGTGGCATGCACCTGTAGTCCCAGCTACTCAGGAGGCTGAGGCAGGAGAATTGCTTGAACCAGGGAGGCGGAGGTTGCAGTGAGCCGAGATGGTGCCACTCCACTCCAGCCTGGCAACAGAGCGAGACTGTCTTAAATAAATAAATAACAACAAAAACAAAAACTGAGGTACAGAGACATGATCCAGGTCATCCAAGCTGATGGCAGAATTGGGACTAGAATTCAGGCACAATTGTATGCTATAATTCCATGTTATTTTCTCAGTTTCCAGTCAGGGAAGAGCTTTGCTGCTTGGAAAACCTAACTCAGTAACAATTACAACCCATTCTGGGTTTTCTAAATGGTGCTGCTCAATGAGTGAACAGATGTTGGAGAGTCCACTGGAGTGGCCCAGGCAGCTCAGAGCCTTGCAGAAGATAAAATTCCTTATGTAATAAAAGGACAGAGCTTCTAGTTGCCCTGGAATAATCAAGAATGCTACAAGGAAGGAAAGGTAACCTAATATCTAGAATCTATTTTATGCCCCATGTTGAACTTCCCTAAGAGGTAACTCTAGACCAGCCCGACCAACATGGCGAAACCCCCCTCTACTAAAAATACAAAAATTAGCCGGGCATGGTAGTGCACACCTGTAATCCTAGCTACTCGCGATGCTGAGGCATGATAATCGCTTGAACCTGGGAGGCAGAGGTTGCGGTGAGCTGAGATTGTGCCACTGCACTCCAGCCTGGGTGACAAACCAAGACAACGTCCCAAAAAAAAAAAAAAAAGGGTAATTCTGGTAGTTCTCCTGAAAGGTGAAATAGTGGGATTCAATACATTTTCTAAATCTAGGTCGGGCTCTTCCCAGAGAAAAGCAAGGCTGCTTGAATGAATATTGCTGTGGCCAGTTATTTTGATGGCGAGAAAAGAGATGGATCCTAAAAGTGGGTGATAGGCTGAGGGGGCTTAAGTTCATTCATTAAAGTTAGGATGACCAATACATTCTAACACTATTCTCAAAGACTTGATGGACTTTTCTCCCTCTTCAAAATAATGTTTACTTATGCTATCTGAAAACACTTCCTGCATTTCAGACTCAGTCTGCAATATGTTAACAGCCAACAGTTGAACAATATTCTGCATGTGCATTCGTAGCGCAGTAAACCATTTACTCAAAGAAACAAACACCCACAACAACTCCCCGCCTCCCCCAATGAAGACAGCAGAAGAGAACTAACTGATTTGTCTGTTGTCTTTCCTGTCAAGATCGCCCTCGCCTTTGCTTTGGTCAGCGGGAAGGACTTTATGTATGAGTCATACAAATGTTTTGCCAGGGCCCGGAGGTCAGCGGACTCTGGGTTCAGCTGGTCGATATCACTGGAGATCTCCGCCAACAGCTTCTCCTTCTCGGCTTGTGGCATCCGCCCAAACCTGATGGCTATGGAGGAAGAGGAACGACAGGATGAATCATTGGATTACTACTGCTCTGAACATACACTATGCTCTCCCAGCCCTCGTTCCCACACAGTAAAAGCATCTCCTCCTCCACTGCTCTCGAGTTCTGGTTTCTACCAGTTTGCTCATGTTTTTATAAAAGTAGCACAGACCATCAGTAAAAATTAAACTGTTCACTTTAATTTTTAAAAGTTAATGCATAATCCTGCTGCGAAAGTGAAAGAATTCAAGAGTTTAGCAAAGGGAGGAAAGTATGTCGACTTAAACATGAAATAATTGAGAACCAACTCCTATTCATCCCTCAAGACCCAATTCAAAGGTCACCTTCTTTGCATCCCCAGCAGTTGACCTAAGGTCAGGGCACTAGAAGGATCAACACGTTTCACGAATTAAAATACGAAACTGTGTAGAATTCAAAGTTGTACAGACATAGGCTTTGTTCTCAGGGAGTTTGTATGATCTGTTTGTCTCTGTTAAAAAGAAATATGGATGGTGCTTTATCACATCTTACTAGTCCAGAGAGCACTTTTACATGTAGAGGAGAGAAGCCATGGTTATCTCCCAACTCTCCAGAGTTACCACTTAATGATGTTTGTCAGAAAGACAAACTGGCGGCCTGTAGGGTGAGGAAGTGTGAAAAAAGGTAATGAAAGAAAGAAAAGCAACGAGGAAAATGTAAGAGGGGTTAGTGGGGACTAGTTTGGGGAAAAAATAAACTGTAACTTTTCAACTCAAATATGTTTTCTTTCCTTCTTACCAATATGTTCAGCAAAATATTATTTTGAATCACGTTCCTTTGGGGGCACACTTTAGGTTCTATGTTTCCCATAATAAGGGTACCTGGCCATCATGTCCACTGCTCCCCATGCATACATAGCTCTGTTCTTACACTCACGACGTGGTATCACAGCCATGTGTTTTTATGGTGATCGGCTTCACTAGACTATATGCTCCTTGAGCGCAGAGACCGTCATATTCGTTTATGTCTCTAGCAAGACTCTGTCTCTGCTGAATCCCAGAACAAAGAGATGGCTTTTATTTTATTTTATTATTTTGAGATGGAGTCTTGCTCTGTCACCCAGGCTGGAGTGCAGTGGCACAATCCCAGCTCACTGCAACCTCTACCTCCTGGGTTCAAGCAATTCGCCTGCCTCAGCCTCCCGAGTAGCTGGGATTACAAGGGGTGCGCCACCATGCCTGGCTCAGTTTTATGTTTTTAGTAGAGACAGGGTTTTACCATGTTGTCCGGGCGGGTCTCAAACTCCTGACCTCAAGTGATTTGCCCACCTCAGCCTCCCAAAGTGTTGGGGTTACAGGCGTGAGCCACCGCGCCCAGCCAGAGATGGTTCTTTTATATGTTATTATGCTAAGGGTAGCATTTCTACCATGAGACATGACAGCACATGACAACTTTCCCATCTGAGTACTCCGTGAAAATTACCTTGGATTTTCCCAAGAAATTGACATGTACCCTTGAGTCTCAAATTCATAAATGCATTTCCATTGACCCTAAATAAATTTTATCACTGACTAATACAACTACTGTTTTGTAGGGGCCTCCTTAGAGACCAGACTTGGGAGTTAGAGGGGAAGAAAATCTTACCTCTCATTTGGGATTCCTTTAAATTGAATTAGCCTGTATTTAGATACTTTTAGTAAATATATCCTTGGTACATGGCCTCTTCATATAGAAACCTTTAAACTGGGAGGTTTTGGTCAAAAATCCTGCTTCCCTACTCACTCTTCCCCATTTTCTTTCTGTGTTGTTCTACGGGGCTGAGGCATGATTGTTCATATTTTTATCTACTGGTGACCCCAGCCCCTGGTGCTAGGCTTGTCTGGGTCCCTCAGGATATGACCTCATCTCATAGCACTGATCACAGGAATTAATCTATAATGTTTTATTTCCTCCCTTGCCATATAATCTCCACAAAGGCAGGAACCTTGTTCATTATTGTATCCTCAGCACTTAGTACAATTTCTCGCACATATTAAGCCCTTGTCTACTGTAATTTGAAATACAATGGAAAGAAATCCCAGATAGCATATTCCTTCAAAATCCTCTGTGAACCTCCTGACCACTTTGCTCAGATAGAATTCCTTATGCAGTTGGCCCTCCATACCTGCAGGTTCCACATCTGCAGATTCAACCAACTGTGGATTGAAAATATTTGGAAAAAAGAACCAATAAAAAATAATATGGGCTGGGTATGGTGGCTCACACCTGTAATCCCAGCACTTTGGGAAAGGATTCAGCTGTAATCCCAGCCGAAGTGAAAGGATTGCCCAAGGCCAGGAATTTGAGAACAGCCTGGCCAACATAGACAGACCCTGTCTCTACAAAAATAAAAATAAAAATAAAAATAATTAGCTGGGCATGGTGGAGTGTGCCTCTAATCCCAGTTACTAAGGAGGCTGAGGTGGGAGGATCCCTTGAGTCCAGGAGTTAGAGGCTGCAGTGAGTCATGATAGAGCTACTACACTTTAGCCTGGGTGACAGCAAGACTCTGTCTCTAAAATAAATAAATAAAACAATGATAAAAAAAAAGACAAATAAAAAAATATGGTATAACAATTTTTTTTTTTTGAGACAGGGTCTCATTCTGTTGCCCAGGCTGGAGTGCAGTGGTACAACCATGGCTTACTGCAGCCTCGACCTCCTGGACTCAATCGATCCTCCCACCTTAGCCTCCTGAGTAGCTAGGACTACAGGTGTGTGCCACCATGCCTGGCTAATTTTTAAATTTTTTGTAGAGACAGGGTTTCACCATGTTGCCCAGGCTGGTCTCGAACTCCTGGGCTCAAGGGATCCTCCTGCTTCCGCCTCCCAAAGAGCTGGGATTACAGGCATGAGCCACAACGCCTGGCCATAAGAATTATTTATACAGCATTTACACTGTATGAGATATTATAAGTCATCTAGAGATGATCTGAAGTATACAGGAGGATATGTGTAGGTTATATGCAAATAATATGCCATTTTATATCAGAGACTTGCACATCTAGGAATTTTGGTATCTGAGTGGATCCTGGAGCCAATCCCAGGGAATAAGGAGGGATGGCTGTACTATGTTCATTTCTTGTTCACCAGTAGTTCCCAATTGAGGAGTGGGGAGGGTAGGGGAGGCAGAGCATATCAGAGTCACATGGTAACTTCTGACATTATATGTTTTCCATGGAACATTTTGATGGGCCATCCATCCACTCAGTTAGGAGTATATAAAAAACCTGGGGTTTGGGACAGTTTATAAAAAGCTTCCTAAATGCTGGGCTCCTGTTGTATGCATACATTAGCTCCTGTATTAAACTGTTACTATACTACGATGTTGGTTTATATCGGTTATTCTACTTGAATATAAATTATATGAGTAACAGGTTTTCTCATCTTTGTTCCTAAGTGTAACAAAATACACATAGTAGGTTAACAATAAATGTTTGATGGATTAAACTCCAAAATATCAGGTTTAAAAACATACAGAAAACGAGACACTATGTCCATTAGGAAGTTTGGGAAAATGATCATGAGAAAAGCACTAAGTAAGAAGGCGTATTAAAAGAAGAAGGAATTTTGGTGTAAAACTCAGAGAAAATCAGTTGTCCTATAACAAAATAGAGGTGACTAGAATCACCAACTATCTGCTGCTCCTGAACTTTTGTTATTTCACAGAACACACAATACTGTCTCTTTACTCAAGGAATAATTATTGAATGACTACTGTGTGCCAGGCATGGTTCTAAGCTCTGATTTAGTTTTTACAGGTAAGAGGCTATAAACATATGCAAAAGTTTACACACCTAGAAAAGCTATTTTTTCCTAATGGGTAATCAAAAAAGTTAATTTAAATGAACAAATAGCCAAAGATAGCCACTTACGACATTTGCTAGTCCTGCTTTTCTATCACCTAACAAATATAACCAGAAAACACCCCTAAAAACCATTTTAGAATTAGGATATATTAAAGTGAGATCCCTCTGCCATAATCTCACAAAAATGTATTTTTATAAGTTGAAGTTCCCCTCAAAGGCTAACTCTAATGAATAAATTATCTGTATTGTTAAGTGCCCATGCTACAAATTAGGTTCCATTTAATTACCAGTGCAACCAATTATATAGGTGATTTTAGCATTTTTTATACACCAGAGGTTCATAAAAGGAATGAAAAATAGATCCCATTTGGTGAGACTAAATTCACATAAAACATACAAAAATCTGAAACTGTACAGAAAATAAGGATTTTTATTTACATACTTTTTTTTTTTTTATCTTTCAGCTGAGGCACGCATACCTTTTTTAAGGGGGAAAAAGCCAGTGTTATTAGTATATATAGCCAGCAACGAAAAAGCCAGTTTCGTTGCTTCTGAGTCCCACATAATAGTACCTATCTACCTCATGTGAGGTGATGAGAGGAAGTGCTTAGCACAGTGCTGGGCACATGGCAATGCTTAATAAACACTGCTTTTATTGCTGTGGTCGTGGTAACTATGGCTGCTGTGGGTTCTAGACCAGGTTGGTAGTCATGGCACGCTGACCTCTCCCACAGAGAAAGAACAGAATCTGAAAACCTAAACTATGTGTCTGTCTGCCCGCCTGTCTATCTCTATTTCTATCTTTCCATCTTTAAATTGTTTGGGAGATGGTGTTTTTTAGTTAAGTAATTCTTGAGCCTCAGGTTCTACCTTTTACCTACCAAGAGAAGGAAAGTGATGGAGGTTGGGAGGTGTTTCCTGTAAGACTGAAGTGAGAGCTTAGAAATAGAAGATGAACAGGCCGGGCGCGGTGGCTCACGCCTGTAATCCCTGCACTTTGGGAGGCCGAGGCGGGCGGATCACGAGGTCAGGAGATCCAGACCATCCTGGCTAACACGGTGAAACCCCGTCTCTACTAAAATACAAAAAATTAGCCGGGCATGGTGGCGGGCGCCTGTAGTCCCAGCTACTCGGGAGGCTGAGGCAGGAGAATGGCGCGAACCTGGGAGGCGGAGC